ACATCTGATAATTTTACTTCAACATTCTAGTAAATGCAATTGTGAGTAGAGCAAGCATTTACTAGGTGCTCTGCTTCTGGCAGAAAGAGACTCAGGCTAGTGTCCTGATTCTTGGAGACCTCTGGCACTACTGTAACTTGCTTTTGATGTTTGCAATCTGAGCTAAGAAAGCAGCATCCGTGTCCTCCAATTATCTTAGTGTCTGTTCCTGTTTGTTTCTCCTTTTATTCTCATCCAAACATTTCCATCTTCAGTTTTGTGGTTTCCTTTTTTGACATACATGCTTTTGTTGAGTCCCTTCAATTAGACTCACTTCCTCTCCTCCAGTCATGGGATCCACATGATTGACTTATTTATCATCTTGTCATAAAATTCAAGTTCCTCTCCCACTCTGGTCTTCTGCAATACAACCAGCACTCTCTAGACTTTATGGTTTTAATAATATTAATTACAAATACAGGGAAAAAATCCTAAAATTGATATGTTTGGCAACAAAAAATAACATTCCCTCTTACCCCCAATCATAGACTATCAGCATCTTTTAATAAAATAACAATAGTTTAATTTTAAAAGAGTTAGAAAGGATATAATTTCGGAATTTAAAAATACTTTAAAAAGGCACTATTTTGTTATGAACCAGAAATGTTTTATCATGGACCAGCTCCAGTCTGCAGATCTATGTAGGAAGCCACTGCTGTAATATATGGTTTTGCAGTTACGTTTGGACAATTTCCTTGAAAATTTTAGAAAGTACATGATGCCCAATTTTTGTGTTAGTTACCTCATAATTTATCAGAGGCCCATACATCTATCATAAGTTGTGAGCCCTCTCAAAAATTCTGTTCCCAGACAACACACATGTTGTCAGCTGGTCAGACTGGGGAGATGAAAATACCACCTGTAATGCCATATCCTTCAGAATCCTCTTCAGCCACTAGCATGTCCCAAGTTTCTTCTGGTGGTGTATAATTTGATCTCATATTGCTATAGTTTGGATATTTGACTCTGCAAAATCTCATGTTAAAATCTGATCCCCAGTGTTAGACATAGGGCCTAATGGGAGGTATCTGGATCATGGGGCAGATTCCTTATGAATGGCTTGGTACTGTCTGGGTGGCTATGAGTGAGTTTTTGCTTTAGTAGTGCTTGGGAGAGATTGTTAAAACGAGCCTGGCACCTGACTTGTCTCTCTCTTGCCCACACTGTCTTGTCATGTGATCTCTCCACACTTCAGCTCCTCTTACCCTTCCAGCATGAGTGGAAGCTTCCTGAGGCCCTCAGCAGAAGCAGATGCTGATGCCATGCTTCTTCTACAGCCTGCAGAACTGAGAGTTTTTCTTTATAAATTACCCAGCCTCAGGTATTTCTTTATAGCAACACAAACAGACTAAGACACGTATATACCACCTAAAATATGAGGTTGCTGAATTATCACAAACTCCCCATCAGGCCTCAGAATACTCCAAGAAGAAGGAGCACCAACCACCAGTAAGGTGAGGTCTGCAGATCTCCTAGGCCTTTAGCAGAATCACAAACCAAGGAAATGGGGTCCTCGTGGGGTGGGGGAATGGACTTTGTGTACCTGCTGACATCTGTTAATCCTCCTTAGAATTCTGTCCAGGAATGAGGGTTGTCTTTCCTCCTTTACCCTAGTGAAGACTGATACTTAGCAGGGTGATGACAAAGATCTTTCTAGCATAACAATGCTGAACTTACTCTATGAAAAACAGTCAATATCATAATAGCAAGAGAGGAGATGGCTTATTCTGAGATATTTCACCAAGATGGGGTTGAGACAGATCCTCAGAATCTCAAGTGCTTGCTTCTGCAAGATAGACCAGGACACTGAGGAAGGACAGAAAAGGGAGGGAGACTGAGAGAAAGGAACGTCCAGACGACCTCATCCAAGGACTCTATGAATTGAAAAGTCACAAAATGAGAAAAAATGTTTTGCACCATTCATTGGACATTGTGTTTATCAGTTAAGAGTAGCAGTCTTTTCTCTCTGTCCATGAGCTGTACCTGCAGGGTCATGGATCAGAGTGGAAAGAGGTATCATCAAGATTTCTCCACCCTTTTGGCAATGACACCAGACTACATTTTTAGCACTCATATTTTGGTGTCTATACCGAGGAGGAAGTTAAATTTAGTATATTTCCTGCTAGTCGCTGAACACTGCAGTACCTCCTGGGTCTTGAGTCACAGTCTTTAATGTCTATCTGTGGAATCTCTCCTTTTAAACTGCTAGGCATTTGAGGAGCCTGGATTTATGGTTTGAACTGTCACCATAAGTCCTTAGTGCCCACCCAGAAACCATGTTGACTGGGTGGAATGTTCATAGTAATTTCTTGGTCCCACTTAGTGGAACGTTAGGAATGTTCCTGTCGGGGCGTGTGTGTGTGTGCTGGCTTGTGTCCACGTGTGGAGACCATGTGGTATAAACAGGGTACTCTGGATGACCTTTCTCAGACCCTTTTTGTTTTTCGTTTTTTTTCCTTTTTGTGGAGAATGGGGTCTCGCTATATTGCTCAGGCAGGTCTCAAACTCCTGGGCTCAAGCTATCTTCCTGCCTCTGCCTCCCTAAGAGCTGGGATTACAGGTGTGAGCCGCAGTGCCTGGCTCTCAGACTCTTCTTGCATTTGCTCCTGAAGAATGTGTTTGCCTTGTGTTGAGTTGGAAAAATCAGATCAGCATGTTGTGCTACCTCCAAAAGACAAGTGATTCTGGAGCGAGCAGGATGAACTCCCAGGGGCACAGGCCCTACTCAACCCAGCCTTCTGGGTCAAGTATCAGAGACAGAGTCCTGTGGACCAGTGCCTGCAGACACAGCACACCAGAATCTCCTAGGAATGTGTTTAAATGCAGATTTCATAGTCAGACTCCATTCAGGTTAACCAGATTAAACTCTGGGAAATACAGCTCAGGAATCTATATTAAAAAAAAAAAAATACCCCCAGGTTGTTTTGTTATGTGACTGGGTTTGGTAACCACTGCCTTACTCGGCCCATTCTCCAAGAGGGTGGTAGCATCACGCAGTGTTGATACTAAGTCTTTTAGATTTTACCTCCTAAGCATCTCTTGCATCTTTCTTGTCTCTGTGTCTATTAACCCCTAGCCAAGTCCAAACTAGCAGCATCTCTGGTCTGGACCACTGCGGCAGCTTCAAATTTCTCTTGTAGAGAGGGACTCATTCCTCTCTCGTCTGAACTCTACAGAGCAGCCAGAGTGGCTGTTTCAATGTCAGAGATTCTGTCACACTCCCTACCCCACCCTGACCCTCATCATTTCCTTCCATTGCTTTTTAGAATGAACACAACATTCTTCACGTGGCCAGAGGGTCTGCTGAGTTGGTCCCTACTGATTTCACCAGACTTCTCTCCCAGCCACCTGACTGTGCAGGCACCCGTCTCCAGACATTCCTTCCCCTTTCCCTGGTCCTGCCTTCAAGCACAGCTGTCATCACTTCTGCAGGAGTTTTTCCCAATTCTCATGGGTAGCACTTGAGCAATTTTACGTCGATTTACATAATACTTTGACTAGGTGCATCTGTCTGAGCAAACTGAATTTCTCACAAAGGCAGAGACTATGTTTCTTCACTCTTGTAGCCCTAGTGGTTGGTATGTAGTAAGCTCTAAATACCTGCCTTCTCCTCCCTATAACAATCCTCAGAGAAGACACAGGGTGCTGAGATGGATCAGAACTTTGTAATTATATTCAGGAGGAGTTCTGTCTCTTCATTCATCATGACATGTCTAGTATCATGTACTATTTTTTAAAATTTATTTTTAATACTTTTTAAATCAGCCTATGCGCACGAAATATGTACCATATAGAACTGCAGGATTCTGGGTCCAGCTGGACTCAGCTAGCACAGAACAAGCACTGTTAGTAATGATTTGAACACTTTTGGAACACTTGGAATATCTCACTTCCCGTGGCTTGATGAAAAGAAACATTTTTTGAACATGAACTATGTGCTAGATGTGCCCTTTGCCTTTATGTTGCTTATGGTTTGAGGAGGAAGGAGACATTAAACAAGTAACCACAAGTTTATACGTTTTACAAAAGGGGCAGATAATATGCCACAGGGATGCAGAACAGAGGGGTCCAAGTCTAGTCTAGGGAATCAGGGGACAGCGTCTCTGTGTAGGGAATATTTAAGCTGAAATCCAGATGAGTGGCAGTTAGAATAGGATGTAGGGAGCAGTACATGTGTGGCCCCCCTGAACTTAGGAAGAAAGAGTATTTAATGGGCAGCAGGGAGTACTAAGCTCTATCTCTCTCCTGTGAATTGGGACTTGGCCCATCCACACTCTAGGTCTCAACTCCTCATCTGTCATGAGTGTTTGGGTGACAGGGCCTGTGCTGACCTGGACTCTCGGCTGGGTCTTGAGGGCAAATGCCACACTAAAAGGAGTCGTGGGTAGGCAGGTAACTCTCAGGACTCCCTTCTCTCAGACATCACACAGGCTGTTGTGAATTCAGCACCACTAGTGCTCTTGTCAGAGCAGCTTTTTTCTTTTTTTTTTCAGTCGGAATTTTGCTCGTTACCCAGACTGGAGTGCAAGGGCGCGATCTCGGCTCACCGCAACCTCCACCTCCTGGGTTCAGGCAATTCTCCTGCCTCAGCCTCCTGAGTAGCTGGGATTACAGGCACGCGCCACCATGCCCAGCTAATGTTTTGTATTTTTAGCAGAGACGGGGTTTCACCATGTTGACCAGGATGGTCTTGATCTCTTGACCTCGTGATCCACCCACCTTGGCCTCCCAAAGTGCTGGGATTACAGGCGTGAGCCACCGTGCCCGGTCCCAGAGCAGTTTTAAACATTATAACTACCAGCAGTTTTTACTCATTTCTTTATTAATATAGAAAAGAAGCCCAGGGCAGCTGGACCAGTAGTACAAAGCACCAGGAGTTAATACCATTCTGGTGAAAGGGTTGGTTTTACGAAAGTGAAGGAGCAGGCAGGAGCTGCAAGGTTCCGAGGCCAGGCCCAGCCTACTGCCCAGAACCCCTGAAAAAGCTCCCTGGGAGAGGGCTGACAGGTCGGTCGGGGTGGACTGAGCTGGAAACCATGGAGACAGATGGTAGGGATACAGGGTCATGCAGTGGGAACCACCCTGTGGCTGATGAGGACAGGGAACTGGTAGCTGGAAGCTCCCCACTGGACCATGGGCAGGGGCTTGCAGGTGGTCTCAGCTCTGGGGGCAGGTAGAAAAACTGCAGAGACTGATAGGCATGGAGAACCCAGACATGGCCCTGGGGGTGAAGGGCCTTTCCACTTTTCTCCACCAGGAACCACCCTTGCTCTATACTACATTTGGGGCTTTAGGGCCCAAGGCACAGGGGAGGCTCAGAGGCCTCTATTTGGGAGGAAGATGGGGCAAGGAAGGAAGCACTTGAGTGTCCCTAGTTTAGGCAGCCAGGGCTGACACAGGCAGGACAACAGCACCCTGCAAAGTGGGGCTAGAAAGTGGGGCAGGGACTGGCTTATCCTTGGCCAGTGACCAGGACCAGCCCCATGGCAATGGTGCCTGTCTCGAGCCTTAGCAAATCAAGTGTGCAACGGGATGTTGGCAAACCTGGGCTCTCGCCTTATCTCTGCCAGAACTTGTATCACACAGAGCTATATAACCATGGTCCAGCCATGTCCCGCCTTGGCCTATTTCCACTTCTGTCAATGAGGGCTTTGGATAAGGAGCTTTTAGGTCATGGAAAGGGCTCTGCAGGTGAAGGGAACTCTAGGACCTGCTCTTGGCAGTTAACCAGACCCTGGATGGAGGAGGAAATGGGGGATGGAGGAGGAAGGTGTTCTTGCACAGAACCTATCCCCACAAACACTGCAGAGCTAGGAAAGGCAACTGGAAGCCCTTTTTGCCCAGAGGAAGAAAGGCCGCAGAGAGACCGAATGCGGCTCAGTGCAATCCCTTCACATCCTCCACCATCTGGGTAACACTTGGCAAGGAGTGGATGGGGTGGCATTGGTAACCCTTTATGTTCTTCCCCAGGGTGGGGCGCTCAAGGCCTCTTGTGGCTTCTGCCTTCAGCTCTCAGCGTGGGGTCAGCAGTGTTCTTTTCACTGTGGTCCTGTTCCGGGAACAGCCCAAGACTCTGCCTGGCTGGCACATGTTAGTTGGTGAGGAAAGGACAGAGTAGGTGAGTAAGCAGACAGGGAGGCAGGAGCAACTCTGGCTTTCTCCTCTTCCTCTTCAGAGATTGGCTCAGTCAACTGAGTCACAGATCTCCTCCACCACAGCATTGAAGATATGTGGCTGGTCAGCATAGACGTGGTGAGATGCACCCTCAATCTCCTGTGGAGAGAGGACCCGCAGGGGTGGCATGGCCCTTTATTCCTGGTGCTGGAAAGCTGTCACACTATTTCTTTTCCCCTTAGACTTGCTTGCCTGACACCCATGAGCTCTTATCAGAAATAATACTCCACGTTTCTCCCTCGGATCTTGGTATTTTCCTTTGACAGCCAATGAATCCCCATATCCCACTTTACTTATGTGGTGGACATTCACTGTATCTTTCCTTCCATGTTAGCCCCACTACTGATCTGCTCATTTAATCCAAAGGTCCAGTAAACCTGGCCCATGGTTGGCACCCAGCCTCATTCAGCACACTCATTGGCACATGGCAGAGAGGGGTTAGAAAAAAGGGAGGAGGTATGGTGGGAGCCTCTACTATTCACTCCACTGCCCATGGCTCTGGCTTTGGGGTAGGAACTACATGGGGGCTGGAGCAGCAGCAGGTGCCTGGCTACTAGACCAGAACTAGCCTTTTAGCCTAACTGGGCTAAAAGTAGGAAGCCTCTAATTAAGATATTACAAAGAGAGTTTCCAAACTTCTCAAATCTACTGCCCTATCTCAGTCTGTCCATTCCTCTTTCTCCTCAATCACCCATCCCTACCCCAAGGCTGAGAGCTGATTCACTCTCAGTCAATCAACATGTGCTGGCATTTGATTCACGGCATCATTTCCACTCCTTGGTGGTGGAACATACCAAGTCTCGGACATAGGAATCCGGCCGCTGCATCTTCACCTTTTTTCCCGTACTGGTATCTATCCAGGTGTTGGCCCCATAGATCATGGTGATGGGCACATCTTTTCGAATCAAGTGAATTCGCTCCAGCATGGGGCGCCGGGCCCAGCCAAAGGACTCCATCATGGCTTTGAATGCTGTCTCACCACTGTCAGAAACAAAACAGCAGTAAACTTCAATAAACAGCAGAATATGTCAACTTGTTGGTCTCTTCAGAGGCTGAGGCAGAGTCTTAGTCATCTTTGTATTCCTGTCAGAGCCCTACACTGGGCTCATTAAATATTGGTAAGATTAGGAGATGACCAAAATTCCAGAGGTCTCATCACAGAAGAGTTTGGAGGAACACTTGTGAAAAAGCCCATGGTAATACAAACTGTCCGAGAATGAAATGGATTATTTATTCAACAAATATTATCTGTCATGCCCTGGGCTGGGAAAGGGACATATGAACAAGAAACACAGGGTGCTGCCCCTCCTGGAGCTCACACACTTTAGCTCATGCTTTAGAGAGGTAGGCATTAAGTAACTAATCATATGATTAATTATTATTTAACTTAAAATTTCCTGGGCCGGGTGTGATGGCTCACACCTCTAATCCCAGCACTTTGGGAGGCTGAGGACAGTGGATCATTTGCGGTCAGGAGTTCAAGACCAGCCTGGCCAACATGGTGAGACCCTGTCTCTACTAAAAATACAAAAATTAGATCAGTGTGGTGGTGTACTGTAATCCAAAAATTAGGTCGGTGTGGTGGTACCTGTAATCCCAGGTACTCAGGAGGCTGAGGCAGGAGATTCGCTTGAGCCTGGGAGATGGAGGTTGCAGTGAGCCAAGATTGTGCCACTGCACTTTAGCCTGGGTGACACAGTGAGCCTCCGTCTCAAAAAAAAAAGAAACTTAAAATTTCCCAAGAAGGATGAAAAGGTGGTTGAGTGCTATAAAAACACAGCCTGGGAATTTAGTCTGTTGGAGGTTGAGGGAGACAGTCAGGAGTTCATCTGAGGTGAACGCTTAAGAGAGTACTATGATAGTAACAAGGGCTTCCTGAGAAGACTCTGGAATTAAAAACATCAGTCTTCCAAGGACTGGGGGAGCAGCAGTTTCTGTTAAGCAAGAAATAACAAATGCCAATGTAATCTACTTCACTCCCTGGTCATTTGCTCAGGTAGAACGAACTGAGGCCATATCATGAGGTGTCCATGAGGCTGGAACAGAGCCAGCTTTCTGGGCTGGTCTGCGGCTTCTGCTGAAGATAGGGCATGCTGGGGACACTGCTGCCTCTTAGGCTTGGCCTGTTTAGTGCAGTTAGATCTGCATTCTCTTTTACATGTACAGATGAACAGGAACCTGAGTTTTGTCCAGGCCACCAGAAATAGATGATTTTTCCTTGAGATATTGCAGCATAGTAGAAAAAGCATGGAATTTGGAGTCAAATGAATTCAAATCCTCAGCTGTGTTTTCTTACCAAGTCATGCAACCAGAATATACTTTAATTTCCTCATCTATAAATGTACATGTATTTTTATTTTCCTAATGGTGTCCTAGTGAAGTGGGTATAATACTCTATATACCCACTTCACTAGGACACCATTAGGAAAATAAAAATATGTACAAAGCACCTAAGTTGAGGTGAGGTGAAGTATATACCCCCAAACATATTGGTCAAATGTCTTGTTTCCCGAGGAAATGATAAAAGTTACCATGAGCTTGTCAGGGTTACAAAGTCAAAAAACTCAGGGAGTTACAAAATTAAGTGATGGTGTTTGGGAGTGAGGGAGCTCGTTGTGACTAATGTCACCTTTGCTTCCTCTGGGATGTGAATGATACACCCTGGGGCTTAGGTTGGGAGGACATTGTATAGAACTAGGTCTGGGATGGGGAAGGTTCTGGAGAAAAGGCTAGGGTTGGGCCTGTGGGGCCTCAGATGCATATGAGATGGTCATTGAGCCCAAGGGGCCTGAGAAAAGGGCCAAGGGCAGGAAGACAGGGGAATCTGATTTGACTGCTGAGCTGAGAGTTTCTATACTACTGTTTAATCAAGGTTCTTCAATTAGCTTAGCTCATGTGGAATGCTGGACAGACAGCTCACATGCTGCCAAAAGCTGTCTGGGTTTGAGGTAAATGTTCAGACTGTACTGCTGGAATGCAAATCTCTGCCTTTCTCATGGCTTTGGGCTCACAAGTGACTTGGACAGCCCTAGAAAAGGGGAGGGAAGTAAGCTTGCCTTTGCTGAGATGCCTCCCAGCAGCTTGGGGTGTCACCAACATGGCCTTGTGGTATCAGCCAGTCACAGGGTACTTCCCCAGGGGACGATCACCTCCCTGACTCTGCCCTGGCCATCCACATTGCCAAGACTGCAGGTTGCTGGGCTTGTGGTGCCTGCTGTGTAAATAAGCAGCCCCAGATAGGAACTTTTCAAAGTTCTCAGGACACCCCAAATCTCCAAAAGATGCAAAGAAATTTTTGTCTCAATGATAAGGCATTTCAAGTGCATGTAATTAAATTTTAAAATGCATGCTCTTTGAGAAATTCTATTTGTAGTAATGTGTTCAACAGATACAGTCAAATGTGTGTAAAAAGGAATATGTACAAGGAGGCCCTCTGAAGAAATGGCACACGTGCTATTTTAGACTGGAAATAATAAGGAAATGTAGGGACTACAGGTCTGGGACAGAAGACTTCTTTTTCTTTTGAAAAATATTATGCTTTTGCTAATTATTTTTGACCTAAAAAAGAAAAAAAATACCATGTTTGTATCACTCTTTCAGTCAAAAAAATCTTTTAAAATATTAATATTTTCAGCCAGTTGTGGTGGCTCATGCCTATAATCCCAGCACTTTGGGAGGCTGAGGCAGGTGGATTGCCTGAGGCCAGGAGTTGGAGACCAGCCTGGCCAACATAGTGAAATCCCGTCTTTATTAAAAATACAAAAAATTAGCTGGGTGTGGTGGCAGGCACCTGTAATCCCAGCTACTAGGGAAGCTGAAGCAGGAGAATTGCTAGAACCCGGGAGGTGGAGGTTGCAGTGAGCCAAGATTGCGTCATTGTACTCCAACCTAGGCAACAGAGCAAAACTTGTCTTAAAAAACAAAAACAAATATACATACATACATGTATGTATGTATACATATGTGTGTGTGTGTGTGTGTGTGTGTGTGTGTATGTATATATATATATATATTTTTTTTTTTTTCCAGACTGTTGCTCATCAGGCCAACTGCATACCTGTAGGGAATAGAAAGGGCCTTCCTCTAGAGATGGGTAGCATGTTTAATTAATCTATTACCTGCTATATTCCTTTGTGTCTATCCCTGGGGAACTCTCTGGAAATGATCAGGCTTGCTAGTGCCTGTGTTTCCCTGAGTCAGAACTTTGTTGGAGAAGAAATAAAGCCCAGAACTCCAGCAGCTAAGAATTTTATCTCCTAACTGTCTGTCCCAAGCTGGCCCGGGGAGCTGCCCTCACCTGGGATTCTGTGCATTGCAGTGGTAGATATACTCTGATATGGTGTCATCTTCAAAGAAGTCTGCAAACTTCCGTTTGAAGTCCGGCCGGAATCGCTGCACCAGGCCAGGCCCTGGGAGGGGATAGCAAAACAGAGTGACCAGTTTGGGAGGTGGGGCAGGGAAGACTCCTGCCTGTGTATGTTTTAACAACTTTAACCAAACCTTATTTTTCCTAAAGGTTTGCTTTATTCATTTAACATTACAGTGGTAGAAAGAGTGCAGGAATGTACTGGGAAGCTCCAGGTGACTTCAAATGACAAAGTTGGCTCATCACCAAAGAATTTAGAGGCAGTTTAACATCACTGATGAGCCAGGTTATTTTCAGCTCAATGAAGCCCTAAGATCATTCCCTGCAAGAATCACAAGCCCTCCCCATCAGTATCCATGTCTGAGATGCTCTTCTCCTACAGCCTGAGCTATGTTCTCTTTCTCCTGGATACCCCTCTGGCCTTTTAATCTTCTGATGGTAGCAGATGAAACTAGACCACCTCCCAAGAGCTCTCTCATTTGTAGGCCTGTAATACAATATGTGGAGAGGTGAACTAAACACAATGGTGTCTGAGACTCAGGGCACTGTTTTACAACAATTTGTTCCTTTCACCTCATTATGGTATATATACATGCAAGAACAGACTGTAAAAACTGGGCCCCGGCCGGGCGCGGTGGCTCAAGCCTGTAATCCCAGCACTTTGGGAGGCCGAGGTGGGTGGATCACGAGGTCAAGAGATCGAGACCATCCTGGTCAACATGGTGAAACACCGTCTCTACTAAAAATACAAAAAATTAGCTGGGCATGGTGGCGCGTGCCTGTAATCCCAGCTACTCAGGAGGCTGAGGCAGGAGAATTGCCTGNGAGGTCAAGAGATCGAGACCATCCTGGTCAACATGGTGAAACCCCGTCTCTACTAAAAATACAAAAAATTAGCTGGGCATGGTGGTGCGTGCCTGTAATCCCAGCTACTTAGGAGGCTGAGGCAGGAGAATTGCCTGAACCCAGGAAACAGAGGTTGCGGTGACCCGAGATCGCGCCATTGCACTCCAGCCTGGGTAACAAGAGCGAAACTCCGTCACAAAAAAAAAAAAAAAAAAAAAAAAAAAAAACTGGGCCCCACTGCTCAACTTCTGATCTCTGATCTCTCTCTTTCTCTCTGGTCTTCTCTCTGTTTATGAGGAGCAAGAGGGAGGTAAGAAGGGGCTGGGTTGGGGGTGCCATGAGGATCTGCATGCGCCCTCCCTCCTGTACAGTCCTTCATGGCTGCTGGCCAACTCACCCAAACTTGATAGCTCTGATGCTCCTGCATGAGCCTGGCCAGAGGTGAGAAGAGGGGACGGTATGAGCAGGGCTTCTTTTTGGCAAAGGATTATCAAGAGTCTGCTGGAGACCACAGCGCTGGGAACCTCTGCCCACTTACTCTCCTTTGCACCTGTGTCTTGATAGCCTTCCTCTCTCTCAGAACTGCTAAACACCTATCTTATACTCAAATGCTTTTTTTTTCTTTATTCGGAGTCATTCTGTTTTTCTTGAAGGAACTAGAGAGATAACCCTTATTTAGCTATTGAAAATTATTATGTAAACACAACCATCAGTACAAGATAGGCATCACCAATCTATTCCATAAAGGAATCTTCTCTTCACTTCATCAGAGTAAAAAGCTCTAAAAAGCTCCCCAGCAGGGAAGCATGCTGGCAGTGTGAGGTCAGAAGGTCAGAGATACTGATTCTGTTCATTAGGGCTGGCTCCCCATGGTCCTCCTCCTCCTCCTTTCCTCCCTTTTGCCCATAGAATTTGCTGACAGCTGCCAAGTGCTAGGCAACACAGAGCAGGTGAAGATGTGTTGCTTTCCTGGACCAGTGCATGATTCACAGGGGCTTGCCTGCCACTCTGGGTTATATTGCAGGCTTTGGTTCTGACCTCTCCCTGCTGCAGGTGTTGGGTGAACCACAGGGATGGAATCTGGTGGTTACTGAGCCTGAATCACCCGCAGGTTTTCATAAAATCTCACACACATTGGGTGGGGTGGCTCATGCCTGTAATCCCAGAACTTTGGGAGGCCGAGGCAGGTGGATCACTAGAGGCCAGGAGTCCAAGATCAGCCTGGCCAACATGGTGAAACCCCATCTCTACTAAAAATACAAAAACTAGCGAGGTGTGGTGGGGCACACCTGCAGTCCCAGTTACTCAGGAGGCTCAGGCAGGAGAATGGCTTGAACCTGGGAGGCAGAGGTTGAAGTGAGCTGAGATCACACCACTGCACTCCAGCCTGGGAGACAGAGTGAGAATCTGTTTCAAAAAACAAAAAACAAAACAAAAATCTTACACACATAGCAGAGGATGAGTCACCTTGCAGCCCCTTCTCTCTGGGGGTCTAGCCAAGACATGTGAAAGCTATTCTGCTCCACCTGTTCCTGGCATAGGAAAAGCTTTTGCTATGCAGATGG